GAGAAGTGTGGTGCAAATACTGACTACAGAGGAAGTTTTGTTGTATGTAATGTGTTTTGTTTGTTTTTTTTTTAATGAAATGAATAAATACTAAAAAAAAATATTTATTATAATAATCATTAGTTGCAGCCTCAGTCTACAGCTACAGTTAACAGCTCAAGCCAAATGCTTTAGACAGCCACACAAATAATTAAAGGATATAACAGGAAACAGGCAGGCTTCATATCCTGCTTACGAGAAGTGTGGTGCAAATACTGACTACAGAGGAAATTCTGTCTTTGATATTACTCTTAAGCAAGTATTTCACTGGGCCGTCAACTGTTGCAGACTACTTGGTGACTCAAAATTGCAAGAAAATATGCAAAATTTCAGTTGGGGTCTTGCTGGATTCTAGATGTTTGCGATCAAAGCACTAGTGAGCTGTGTGTAGCCCATCTTTGAAAACTGTGGCCTTTTCTTACACACAGTTTGAACAACATTAAAAGAGACACCTAAAAACTGAACGTGCTGCTCCAAAGTCTACACCTAAGATACAATACTGAATGAACCAGGAAGTCTTAGAATGTCAAAACAGATTTCATAGAATGACAATAAATCAAGTAATTTAAAGATTGAGATGTGTGATGGGAACTAGGCAGTCATACTCTCATCTAAGGTTAATATAATCATTCCTGAAAGAAGTAAACCTGGGTCTACATAGAAATAGGAACTGTTTCAATGTTAAACTCATTTCAATTCAAATACATAGACAAAAATAAAATCTGAAATTGTCATGGTGTTTGGAGAAAAATCAGTTTAGTCAAATTCAGCCAGAATGAGCTGATGGGACAAGCAACACATGAATCTGACACAGTGCAGTTCACATTTCAGACACGTTACTCCTCGTACGTTTTCAAAACTGCTGTTTAAACATAATGTGCAAGATACGTCTTAAAGAAATCAGTGGAAACATGCAATGTTTGCAACAAAAGGCTAATGTTTTGTGTCAACTGAAACTAAAAATAAAATCAACACTAACCTGAAGCCACAAGAGAATTTTATACAAACACTTATACAAATACAAATAAAACCACTCTTTAAAAAAGTGAGAGATAAATATTGTACTTAATACCTTTAAAATCAATACATATAGAGATGATGTACTCAGTCAAACACATGATTTACTTTGGTTTTCAGATAATTACCAGTTTAACCAACTGTCAATGTCAGGGGCTCTCTACACTCCATGTGAAGTCAAACAGCCCGAGGGGGTTACAAGATGTTTGTTTTCACACACCTTTCATAGTTTATGACACATACCATTTGACTGTGTTTATAGTCAATAAGTCTGTCTACAAGAGTCATATAGATGAACAAACTTTCTGACTGTCTCGGTCCAACTGCTCCCCCAAAACTATCCAGGTTGCTTGCATGCTGGATTCTGAGAGTGGAGTTGTTGAAGAAAAATGACTCCATTGCTGTCTGAGCGCTTTTCCACAAACAGACACACCCACAAACTTCTGACAAATCACACAAAACTTTTATACACTCCTGTGAGAAGAAGTTCAGCCCAGGCCTTGTGGCAAAATGGGGCGGAAAAAGCCACAGGGCGAACAAATTTACGCAATTTCTGATACAACTATGTCAAAGAGAGACAATTTTGCAGATTCAGAGTATAAAACAGCCTTTAGATGCCAGCTTGCTTTGTGACAGTGATGGCTAAAAGAAATGAACATTACAGCCCCAGAAGTGTCTTTAACTAATTTTAAACTATATAAAAAGAGAATGGGAGAAAAGGTCTCAAAATTATACCTAGAGGACAATTCAGTCTAATATGACTGAATATTCAGAGGTTAACAGGTCAAGAATTCAGCGTAGAGCAGTGCACATCACAGTGAACAAGCACCACCTCTCACCACTCAAAGTAGAGACAGTTCACACCCAGCAGAAGTTAAAGAACAGCTAAAAGAGAAACACACGGCTCAGTATTTCACATATGGAGCCGATTCTAAGCAGCAAGTCAGATAATATGATAGACCTACCAGCTCAGGATAGGTCACTAAAAATTTCTATGATATTGAAAATAAACTTCACCTTTTTTGTCCTATGACAAGACAAACCAATTTTAAAGATGACAGAATTAAAAGAAAGGAAAGGATTATGGGAGGTTAAACTGAGATTACTTCTCTGACAAAAGAAATCAAGACAAACAAAAACGTAAAATTAGAATGTTTAATAAAAATAATTTTGTGGATTCTATGAAATAGTTTTGTATTAAATGAAAAGAAGAATTGTCAATTGTGTCCAATAGTCATAGAAAGAAGTATTTTGCAAGTCGATGAACCACAGAATTACTAGGAAGAAACCATGAAATTGAAGTTAGATAAATACAAACCCAAGTTCAGTATTTTCTTGATTTGAACGGACTACACAATAGCCTGGCTCGAGACTTGACTCTGACACCATCTGTGAGACCAAGACAGATGTTTTCAACACGTATGTGAGTATTATCCATCAGTCCGTGTGTCAAACTGTCCATTTGAGCCGCACGGTTTTAGAAAACCTTGCATGTGTGATAGTTTTTTTTTTTTTTTTGTGATAACATCACACATTTCAAATTGCTCACTTTTCTTCTGTCATCACATTCATCTAAAGCAGGTGTGTGCTTCAAGACCAGGAAGTCTGTTCAATTGACCAATCACATTATCAACATACAAAACATGAACATTACTTGTAATGAATAATACAATATAATGGTATATGATTTATTTCAGTCCAGTCCTTTGCAACATTGATAAATGTTTGATATATTGTGCAGCCAGACTGCCCAGATTTTATCTGACAAACTGACCACTGAAAGTAAAACACAAACAGAAGGCCATAAGACTGTGTAATCTTTATTTTTCACATTCATATGGAGACTTGTCATTAAAACCTTTGTTGGTATTATAGTTTTATTGTTTTTATTGTTGCTTAACTTGAGAAATACAGGGGTTAGACAATGAAACTGAAACACCTGTCATTTTAGTGTGGGAGGTTTCATGGCTAAATTGGACCATCCTGGTGGTCAATCTTCATTAAATACACATTGCACCAGTAAGAGCAGAGCATGAAGATTCAATTAGCAGGGTAAGAGCACAGTTTTGCTCAAAATATTACAATGCACACAACATTATGTGTGACATACAAGAGTTCAAGAGAGGACAAATTGTTGGTGCACGTCTTGCTGGAGCATCTGTGACCAAGACAGCAAGTCTGTGATGTATCAAGAGACACAGTATCCAGGTTAATGTCAGCATACCACCAAGAAGGATGAATAACATCCAACAGGATTAACTGTGGACGCAAGAGGAAGCTGCCTGAAAGAGATGTTATGGTCTAAAACCAGGTGTTTCAG